AACTGATTGAATGATCGAGTGGTGCATGAAATAAATGATGAAAAACGAAAAGAAATCATAAAAATGCTTGTGTTTTGTTTATCTTGACCATAAAACTTTTCCATTTCAATCAGTTTTACTTCAAAAACTATTAAAGAGAATTTGAATTTATAATTCAAACAAGGAATCGCTTATTCCCAAGAAATCGACTGTTCTGTTGTCTTGTGAATTACGTACACGCAACAAGCTCATTAAGAGAAAGATATAAAAATATATAGCAAGAAAAAAATAATTATGAAAAGAAAAAGAAAACCTTATTATAATCAAATACTAACTGCAGTGCAAAATAGCTCCGTCCSAGCCATTAAAAAAGACAAAGGAGTTTAATTTGCACTAGCTATTTCAAGTTCTATTTAATAGTTTTAATACTTTAGCCGGGAAGCCCTGAATAATGTGAAGAAGGCGACGAAGACTGAGATATAGTGTAAAAAGAAGTGATGCGGAGAAAAAGAATCAAAACAGGTGAAGACTAAATAATAATAACGGATAGAAATTAAAGGGTAAAAAGCATAAAAATAAAAAAAGATTAAATGTCGATCCATTTAGGAAAGGTCTTTTTTTGGGAGGGGGGAGGGGTGGGGCTTCAGAGGGGAGAGTTATCAGTAATTATTTCAACTTTTGTGGAGGGTCAAACCTTTTTATTTTGAAGAAAGCTGTTTCCTTGTTRACTTAAATAGAGTGTCATGGATGTCTGAGTGAAAATGGGAGGGCTACAACTATTTCAAAAACAATTTAATGCGAATCCCTCAACACTGCCCCAATAGATAAACGTACCTTTCCTTAGAAAGAATACGTTCACWCCAGCGTCATAATAATGCGGTTAAAGCCCACCATTCCTGATATATTATTTCATGATGAGGTTGTGTATATAACAACTCTTGTCACCATGGTTACAGTCCTCGATATATACCACAAACACCTCACTATGGTCRCAGTTACGAGAAAAACAAGAATTGGTTTCTTATGTTTGATTTGCTTTGGGATAATTCTATGTTGCTTCGAACCAAACATTTGGTTTTCAAGCTGTGTTTGTTGTTGGTCTGTGTTGAAGGGATACCGGGGCAGAGTGACTGCACATTTGGTAGTRACAGGTAAATGAAAAAAATCGTAAAAACGAAAGGGAACGGTATTTGAAGAATGATAGCTTTTCTGCTGAATCTGAAGCCGTAAAGATTTTGATCACGGAGCATTTTTCATCTATACACGAACCAAGATAAAGATAGAAACATGAAATGCCCCTGCAGCAAATTAAAACCAGGCAGTTTCAGTCAGAGTCATTGATGGTACGACTAAAGTTCTGACAAACTACGACTAACGATAATTTATTCAACAAGAACTCCGTTGACTATGTCGAAGAGATTTTGATTGTAAGTGAAAATTGATAGCCACAAAATAGCGCTGATCTTTTGGGATGATATTTGAGCGAGACTGGGAAGCGAAATATCAACCATGATTAATAATCTAGGAATACGAAAATTTGAGGATGATAACTTTATTATCGGAACAGGGCTTAAATACGATAGGATGCGCCATGATGCCAGGCAGCTTCAACGAAGCAAGTTCAAGGAAACTCGAAGTAAAGCTAATTTTGCGCGGTTTCGTAACGCTGCCTTGAAATGCGCAGTAGAAGAAACAGGAAAAATTATTGATCAAGAAAAAACTATCCGAATGAGAGAGATTGAACGAGAACGGGGAAAAGTGATTGCAGTACAGGAAAAGTGCGGTAATTATTTGCTCACAGCTAAACTACAAACTCCAATCGCTTCCGAAAATAAACACAGAGGAAAACAGAAAAGAAAAACAAAAAATAAAAGCATTCCTACAAAACAAGACTCTTGTACAGCGGGTGTTCACAGTCTCAGCCCATCAAGCGCATGCGCGGAGTCTTGGGTGCAGAGGAACCAATCCGCTGACCTTTCCCAGCTCAACGATATCATGACGACCTTAGACCCTGAGGAAGGGAACAGCTCAAGAGGTCATGYGACAACTTCTGCACAATCAAACAAGGGTCTATTGGATGTAGACCAGTTCACTTCTCATTCACGAACCACGCTACCAGGGAAAAGGAATTCTTTGCCGCTGTTTTCAGGCACCAGTTCTGTTTTATCATCAACGAAAGATGAAGAAAAGAAGAGCGCTTGTCTTTTGGACGTAAATGCCAATGACATATCTGTKGGGGTCCCATCTGGTTTGTRCAGGTCTTCTTCCTCAAAGACTGTAAGGATACATTCAGTTGATACGAATATCAAAAGAAGGAACACTATCAGTACTGTGCGCCATCTTTACGAAAAGAGGAGAGAAAAAATCTTCGAAAACGAAAAGAAAAAGGAATTCCAAGTATGGCAGAATTTCGACGAACTCTTGAAGTGGTTTGCCGAGTTYATGCAAATTGACTACAAACCACGATTGGTAATCAAGGAAAGTGACGTCACTAAAGACGCGCATGCTCAGAATACTCCTAGAGTTCCACTGCCAAAGGGTTCTTTCAGTCCACTGTACTTTCAGTATGGTGTGCCTGAGAACTGTGTTATTAGGCTATGTTAAACCGAGTTGGGTATTGAAACTGGAATATTTCATATTCCAAGTTCTATATTCTTTGGGTGCATGTTACGTCATGTTGGTTCCTCAGTAGCTTCCCTCTCTCGTTAGATCAACCAACATGGCGGCTGTTTCATCGGTTATTTTTATCGCAAGGGATCGGTATTTTTCATGTGGTATCTTCTCAAGTCGGCAACCGCAAACACGACAATCATTTTTATGGATAAAAATGCCCTCATGACAAGAGGCATGAATTGGACTGGAAACACAGTTACCTTAAAACTAAGAATAAGGTCTAGCAGTGGTGCAATCGTGAACGAGTACGAGCGGCCCAGAACATGCCATCTTAACTTAGTGCGGAACATGCAGGCTCATGTGAATGCTGCTGAACAGAAAGGATGCAGGCCCAAAAAYGGACGTGACCACGATTACAAGACGATTGATCGATCATAGACTCTTCCACGACACTCCACAATACGGGRACGGCCGAGCTGAAGAAGGCTGAGAAAAACGAGAGCTGACCATAAGGAGCGCTGGCTCCATGGAATTGCGCAATTGCAGACCCAGAGGTTGTTTTAGGGTTAGATGAAATTTGAAGGTTCAATTCACCATCTAGATAAACTTTGGTGATTTGATGATATTTGCATCTATCACTAACGTCATTGAATTGTCACTCTACCCGATAGGAATCGCGGTCGTCTGTATTGGTCAAATAGTATATTACCACAGGTAACCCAAACTAAGCCACTGTGGTATCATTGATTAAGAGAAAACTGATGTATGGCGATCCTTAAAGACTTCAAAACAATCGTCAAAATGTGAAATAAAGTGGATAAAATCTTAGTTGACCTCTAAAAAGTAGTACCTCTTTCGCCCTGTGTGGTTTGAGTTTGGATTAAATTTTTTTAAATGTTTTGTCCTCCACCGTTAAAAAAGAAAAGAACTCTGCTTTTATTCATCTCGAACTTAGCCTTTATTCATCTCATTAAGGCCCTGTATCTTTTATTTCCTTCAAGCGGTTTGTAAGAATGTGGTTAAATTCAGCTACCGTTGCTTAGCAACAGTAAGACAATTCTCCTGAGAGGATCGCAATAAAGCAACACAAAAGCTGTTATGGTTTCTTGATTAAAGATGGATATTAATTATTAAGTGCGTTAAGCCGGCTTGATTCCTTCGTATCGTAGACAACAGACGAAAGCAGCTGCGATTCTCTACTCGTCGCCTGTCAAGCGGCTATCTTCTTTTCTTTCTACGTGAATGAAGTGAAAMCATTCAAAACAAACGTGTAGGTAAGGTCGTCAAGAGCTTTAGGAACTTCAGGAACCGTAACAACAAAGCTATTTCATGAAAGGTGTTTGACATCAGTGTGTTGTATATATCGATAGCTTTGTTTACGACTACTACACTGATAGTCGAGCTTTATACGAATATTAATCGTTGTAATAATGGTACAACCGCCGACAGCACGTACTTCATCTTACCCAGAACGAACTGTACAGATCCAAGACAATYCTTGGAAACTAAGGGYCAAATCTGTACCAATTAATGCCCATAGCAAACAATCACCGACAAGAGCGTGTGATAAACGATCGGCAGGTACTCAGTCGATGAAATCTTGTAGCTCTGCATTAGACTTGGGGYCAATCAGTGTTCAAAATCGTGAAAGGTTACTAGACGCTTTTCTGCCTGATATTCGTCGAATTCACTCACGAATGGGTTACGAATACCGAGTTCGTCCGTTCAATCTGAACCACGAGAAACTCAAGAGTGTACAGATTCGTGCCAAGACGGTCTGGGACTATCGCCATCTTCGGGAACATTCTGATGAAWCTCTTGGTCATGGAGGAAAGGCTGCCACTAGTATAACACCAAGACCGGCATGGATTGCCAAGGAACTGCCTGTAAATTCAATGAATGATAAGTTATTTCCTGAAGAAGGACCTTCTATGTATGCGTATGTTAAAAGACAACTATGGGACTACGAAGATAAGCGCTATATGCAGAGAGCTACTCCTAAAAGGTCCCATAATAAGTAGAACATTAAAGTACATATATTTATACAACATGGAAAAGGGGGTCACGGAATCATAACGTTGAAAATACGAAGTGTCTAGATACCCGCGGCACCTGGGAACCAATTTTAAAATACTAGATTCCCTGGAGTTTTTGATTTTTGAAAAAAATCGTCAAATAAACACACCTTTGCCCATTGAAAGTATTCTTACTTTATTTAGAATAGTCAAGCGCTTCTGTTAATGATAAAAGATCTATATTTTCCCTTTCGCTGTTTCCTCAGCACAGAATACGAAGGTCAATTCGAAGACACTTAGGAAAATTTCTATCAAACATTTTTTTTCAGAAATCAAAAACTCCCGGGTATCTAGTRTTTTGAAATTGGTTCCCGGGAGCTAGCATGTTTGATGGAAATTTTTCTAAGTGTCTTCGAATTTTTGCTAATTACCGACATTTTAACTAGTCTAATAGTGAATTTTTGACGATAAACTGCACTCGTTTTAGTGGCGGAGTGAATATAAGAGTAATTTTGCAGGTTCAGTTGTGGTGTAAAAACACAGAGTGTGTACATACACTTATGTCAATAAAGTTAGTCACCAGAAAAGCTACAAAGCTGAGACCGACAAGGATTATGGGTAGATACATTTTACATGTTTTAACCGCTTGATAACTGTTGATGGACTTGAGATCTTCTACCAGTTACAGTCTCACCTCCTCTGGGCATCCTCAACTGCTGAAGTTTGTGTCAAAAACTTTAGTGTTGGATATAAAACATTTCCCATGATTCTCAGCGATCACAGCTTTCTAGGTTTTTGGTGACCAACTTTATTGAAATAAGTATATATAATAAATTGCATAAGTTCAGTATTAGTTGTTTGGCCTATCACTTTGATTACCGGTGGTTGTAGCACGAGAAGCAGCAGATCAGCAGCAGCAGCACTTCGCGTCTATACATACTTTATTAGGACGCGACTAGAGTTAGTGGCGGATTTCTGGGGATCGTGTGCATTTATACTATTAGGACAATTTTACGCGACTAGAGTTAGTGGCGGATTTCTGGGGATCGTGTGCATGTATACTTTATTAGGAAAATTTTACGCGACTAGAGTTAGTGGCGGATTTCTGGGGATCGTGTGCATGTATACTTTATTAGGAAAATTTTACGCGACTAGAGTTAGTGGCGTATAAAAATTTCTAAATTAATACAAACAGAATTAACTGCGCAATTTTTTCCTAAAATACAGACAATGATAATGGGGTAATATATCAATATCTAATGACCGATTCTTTAGCGACGGCTGCATTGTTTGATAACGCAGAATGGTGGTTATTTGAGACGTGAAAGTTGCGGTTTCCGGTGAAACCAATCGTAATTCCAATGTCAATTCCATTTAGTAAATCGTCAACAAAGTTTTGATCAGGATAATCACGTAAATTTGATTTCCAAGTTGATGAATCGAATGGTAATTTAATTGTTGTTTGCTGCGTTTGTTGTAAGCTTGCAATCGGCCAGAGGATGGTTCCCCCTGCAAGCTTTGCAAACATGTGCTCGTTTGCAATCTGATCCCTGTTGACACGAGCGTCGTTGAAACAAATTGCAATCCACAGGCAGCTCAAACAAGGTTCCCGTGTATGGTTTATAAGGGAATGTATGGAATGTATGCCGTTTCGTGGGTTTTTTCAAAATCCGCTCTTCTCTACCTAAATAATGTAAACGGCCTCAAATCGCGCTGAAACTTCGCCAGAAGACTGAACAAAGTAAAAGCAACAACTGCAGCAAGTTTTGAGGCAAATTGTTGAGTGAAACACTTTATTTTCGTAACTTTATTATAACTCCCATACATTCCCTTATAAACCATACACAGGAACCTTGTTTGGGCTGCCTGTGTGCAACCTTGCTTGTCGTTGGCGAACCAACGTTCAAACTTCCAGCTGTTATCCTGGCTCGCGCCTTCTTTCTTCGTTGTTTTATTTTCTTCCAGCGTCGATTTCGGACGAAAGGAGCCATCACTTACTCGGTGATTTTCCGACTTACAACGTTGGCATGTCAAACTCTCCTACTGGACGCTCGAGGAATCCAAAATAGTTGCATATAGAGTAGAGTCGACCATATCTAAACGCCCTGGTGAGGCAACGTTGGCGAGACTTTTCCTAAATTGTGTATCGTATTCATAAACGGCAGCCCAGCGAAATTTTCGATTTGCCTTGTGAATGATGGTGCGGTAGCGCGCCAGCTCGTTGTACCGCGTGGGGTCTTTCGGTAGTGACCCTCGTAGATTGTCCACGCTTCCAACCACTGGTCATCGTGGTAATCCGTTTACCGTTGTCGTCAATATGTCCTGGCTGTGGCTGTAGCAATGTGTACAGATCGACATAGGCATTGTTCGTTGTTGAATAATTACCTTGCGATGTTGCGGGGGCACAACCCCCTTTTGTGTCGGCTATGCGGGACCGCATTTCGTCTTGCTCGAGTTTGAGCGCTCCCACCTGGTCCGATAGAGTGCGGATGGCCATCAATATCTGAGTGTCTGGATTGGCATGGAGGGACATATCGTCGTCCGACTGGATTTGTGGGCCCTTGCAATGTTTACCAGGTGTCCCGAACGAATGAAATGCTTTGGCTGTTTTACAGCCCGGACACAGACTTTCTCTACCTCTCTTTGACATTATTTTCTTCTTTTACGAATATACTAGAT